TAGTGATCAGCAGAGCTACGCGGTTCCTCCAGGAGGTTTGGGTCACAGGATAGACCTGAGAGACGAATGAGACGTAAAGAAACAAAAAAATATGTAAATGTTGATTTTAAAAAAAAGAGCTGAACTGGAACCTAATATGTAAAGTTAAAGTGAGGTCGTTAATTATCATGTTATGTTTGCATTATGCAAAATTAGTTTCACTCAATCAACAGCACAGTGAGAAAAATACAAATAACAAAATCAATCCCAAAGTAAAATAAATACTTATTTCACTAAATGTAAAGATATATTTAAATTTGATAATACATAGTAAAAACTTTTCACACAACTCACTTTCAGGGTTTCTGTATTTACATTGTTTTTTTAATCAAAATAAACTGACCTCTGGATTGTCCTGTTTGGACTTCCAGAACTTTTCCACGCTGGAGACTGAAGAAGCTGATCCACTCTGAGCCACCGGGCCTGCTGCAGCTACATGATAAATAGAAATGTGTTGCTTTGAAAGAAGCATTTACATTACATTTATTAGAGCACATCTATGACTGCTTTATTATATTATCAACACTCATTGGCACCTCTGGTAAAGAGGTGAAAAATCTCTTTCTAATCTTAACTATCTCTTATTGCAGCAGCATACACACATAATTCTTTTGTTTTTTTTTTTTGAAAATGTGTGTAAGCCTCTTACCTGGCTGACCAGGCTGGACGTTGGACAGACCCAACTCACAGTATAGTGTATTATCCGTACTTTTCAGGTGAGCAATCATCTTGCTGCTGGCTTCATGTCCTTTCCTCTTCACCTTGTCGATGAGACAGCGTGCTTTATCCGCTCTGCTGTCGTTCTCTTCAACCACTGCATCCTTCTCCCCATCATTCAACACACCATCGTGCAAAAGGCCATCCAGGAGTTGATTTATTACTTCTTTGGACACCTTGGCCACAAAGAGAGGCCTGATTCTCTCAAGCTCTTTATCTGGAATTCCAAGGATGCAGACACAAATAATGCAAACCTTTACGATAAATTCAGTAAAGTTAACAAAAATAAATAAATGGACAAGGGATGCAGTTCAAAAGCTACTACAAGCATCAATAATTTAATGAGGGACAAAAACTAGAGCATATTACATATTGTCACGTGGAAGCAGATTAATATGGAGTTTTATACTCTGAAAGTATAAAGGAGTGTTATTTGTGTTTCACAGTTCTATTTTAGTACATAAAAATAAGAATAGAATACATTAGAGTTTGTGTTTGTAATGTAACAAATGTGAAACAGTTCTGAATACCTTGTGGAATGCCCAGTACTCTAAACATTTTTTATTAAGCATTGAACGTGGCTGCACTAATTGTTTAGCTTCACAATTACTGATTTTGTTAGCGATATTGTAAACACCCTGGTGCATCTTAAGCGGTAAATAATTTTAAAACCTTTAAATACATGCAGTTTGTTTATTTCTGTACCGAAAAAGTATAATCAAAGCGGGATACAACAAAAAAAGATTAATCGTCAAAGTGAAACTATAACGCGTGTCACGAGCAAAATAAATAAATAAAACGGTATAGCTCAACGTTTTCGCGCTAATTGTCTAAAATCATAAACTGTACAGATCTGAGACAATAACTGACTTCTGTCACAATTCAGACAGATATAACCAGGCTGCCAGCTGTGGGGTTTATTCGATGCGCAATGTGGCCAAAACGAATCTAATACCATTCATATCTGCAGAGCTTAAAGTTGTTCCTCTCACCTGCCATTGTTCTGTTTTTGTATCACTGAAATTTACCAATATATGTACATCAAAAACTTCCTGCTTGACCGCGGGTAACGCGCGCTGGATGACTTCCTGTTGGATATAAGGCTGAACGTCAGTAATGCAGCTGTAATGACAGCGTTACCGCTTAAGTATGGAAAAAAACGTAATGCTTATTGGTTTTTAAATATTCGTTAGAGAACAATATTGTTTTTAGAAAACCTTCATTTGACTTTATCCGTGTCATCCGACCAAAAATAAAAGAAAACAATGCTTTTAATATGAGTGAAGAGAATATCACAAGCTCAAGTTTCATTAATGTTGTGCTGTTGAAACAATAAATATATATTATGTTTCTTCCATGTACAGTTTTGATGTTATTAGTTTTGCTGATAAACAACAGGCATAGTCGTTGTTCATTTCATGCAGCAGCTGCAGCCTTGGACTTCTGGTTGGGTCTCAAACAGCATGGGGTGGAGTTTACGCGGACAAAGTCTGCCACGTACTTTGCAGCTATGGCAGGTAAGAAGACAGATTTTGTGGTTTAAATTCAAACAACTGCAAAAGCTTCACTCCAATTTCTATGACGATCCTCAAGTTTCGTGTTAGCGTAAACTTGATGAGTCGTCGGATTTCTGCCCTGTCTTATAGTGGTTCTTGTGAAGTTCGTCTTTGCCCATATATAACTGGGCTACGTAAGAAGCAAAAATCGACATGAAAGTCCAACTTAAATTAGCGGAAGCTAATTTAGTTTGAACTTGAGTGATAACTTGATAACACTAAGTAATGACTTAGCAATTGTGAGCACCAGCTATATGTTTGTTTTTTTTAAAGGACACTGTCTTCCTTCCTTTTTCTCACCACAGCGTGTTTAGTTTCACTTTTGATGATTGTCAAATCCACAATTTATGTCAAGTTCAGCCAGCATCCTTTTAACTTGTTCTGCTCATCAACAAAACCTTTTATGAAAGGGTTAAAGGAGAATGTGCCTATAGATTTGAATGTTTCCTAAAAAGTTTATTTATTTATTTATTTATTTGTTTGTTTTTTCATGAAGATCACATGTTCTTGCATGAATGTGGCCCTGAATACAGCCCTGTACTTCTGCCCCACATAAAACCAAAATCTTCCTGATGAAATCTGTTATTATTCTGCAAATAATAACAGAAATATTGAAAGTTAGTCTGTTGCTCTATAAAGACTAAAAGGTTTGTCATAACAGTTGTAGTGTTGTCAGTGGTGTGGCTTTCTGTGCTACAAGACAAAAATAAAAGTTACAACCATTTCTGGTATCTCAATGTAAACAGACTGATCTCAGTTTTGTAAATGTGTCTTCTTCTTTCTTTTAGCAGATAAACTTAAGGGGATTAGGACCAGCTTTGTGGACAAGTCCTCCAAAGAACTAATAAGTCAGCTCCTGGACGACCTGCTGGGGGATCAAGTCTTCAATGATGGGGAGAAAGACTCAATACTGGAGGAAAACAAGAGCCGTGCAGACAAGGCGCGCGCTCTCATTGATTCAGTGTGTAGGAAAGGAGATAAAGCCAGCCAGAAGATGATAGATCACTTTCAAAATAGAGATCCTACACTCTTCTCTGACCTCAAATTATCTACCTAGCCAGGTACAATACCCAGTGAATCTAAAGTGAATTATCTTCACGCAAAAAAAAGCTCAGTAACAATATATTTTTTTATTTTTATTTTTTCCAGCTGCTGTGACTTTGGAGGAAAAATGATGTGCACTCATTCCAGCAGCAGCTGCTGCCTTGCGGACTGAAAAAAAAAACAATAATCATGCATTGTTTTAAACCAGTGTTATCACAATAATTTTCCTCTGCCTTGATGGTTTTATTTATAGCATGTATGTGAACTGACTTTTTTCTGCTGAGTTGCAGAGTAGATTGATGTGATAAAGAAAATGAACTGTTTTGTAAAAGCATGCCACTATAACATGATATGACTTGTTTTTTTTTTGTTTGTTTGTTTTTTTCTTTTTCAATTGTAAAACCTGTCAATATGTTCAGGGGCAAAATTATAACTTAACTTAGGTTACATTGCAAGTCTCTTTTTTTGGGTGGAGAGGAGATTCCAGATGCATTTTTGCACTGAAATGGCATGGAAAAAATAGTTTTCAAAGGCCATACAGAAAAAAAGACAAAAAAATTACATTTTCATACAAGATCTAGTGAGGGGAGTTTTAGGAATATATGACCAAGTTTGTGACTTTAAATGCAAAACAAGGTCACTTTACAGACAACTCAAAACTAAGTGAACTGAAAACAGAAACCAGAAACTCAATGGACATTTGTCTGGGAAATAGGGCAGCTGGAACATGATGTGTACTGACAGAATATAGAGCAATATAATCAAGTAAATACATTTAAAAAATATATTTCCTTAAATTGAAGACTACTCAATACCAGTCTGGTATTTTTATTTTTCCCTAAAAACGATTTCCTGAAATAACATAAATAATTCATCAACTGTTGTGACCCCAACTTAATTTACCCTGATTTATTTTCAGCCGCACGCTCTTAAGTATCCCAAAACGATGTACTGTATGCAGTTTTTGAAGCACTCTTTTCTTTATGCCAAATAAATTATAGTGTTGCACTAATGAATCAGACAGCAGTCCTTCTTCAGTTTCGGCAACTTTATTTGCCCCACGCTGTATCTACTTTATTTTTATTTTTTTATTTGTTCTTCTCAGAAGCAGCCAGGCACAGACACACAGAAACCGTTACAACGTTTCTTATTCCTCGCGCTACAACGTTACAACTGGTCAACGGACCCACGTCGCTTCCCAACCAATCAGTGACGTAGCACGCAGCTCAGATGCTTCTGCGGCTGGCCATAAACAACTGGGCAAATAAAATATATTAAATAAATTAAGATAGTGTTTTATCCATAAATTTAGAAAAAAACATACTTTATTTTATTTAAATAAAATACTTCTAGGATGCAACAATAGCACTGTGACCTAATGAAAGACCATCTAGCTTAATGTCACTTCAGTTCTTTTATTCTAAATTGTTTATTTTTGTTGAATACAATTAGGTGAGTGTGTTATTGTTGTTTGTGTTGTCGTTATTATTAATAAGAAAAGTTTGCAATAGAAGTTCATAAGTTTAATTGTTTTTACTCAAATTGCTTTTTGTCGATCCAAAAGCTAACGGTAGGGGGAGACAAAAGATTCCCTTTAATTTTTAAACCCACAAAGAAGAATCTGTCAGAGAAGATGGCTCCAAGACGAAGCTAATTGTTTAGCTGATGTAAATCTATCCACCACCAACAGGCTGGAAACTGCGGTGACAAAATTACCAGATAACCAACCCCTTGAGACGAATAAGACCGTATGTTTACATACAATTCATACAAATAATATGTAAATAACATTTATGTATGTGACAGTAGTCTAGCTCAAGTAGCAGTGGCTAATGATAGGCAAACAGTTAATTAGCTTGTAAATTTTGCGTTTTTGAGAACGAGACGTTGTTTTCAGCTTAAGCGTCATTCTTTAGTATTACGATGATAAGTCAGAAATTGTTTATAGCGTGTGTCACCAACTGACAAAGAGTATTTACATTGTTTAAGTGTCTTCATGTATACGAGCTAATGCTAACTTAGCTGATAGCTGTACATTCCTTTAGACAAGATGTGCCTCTGACATCAGACCTGTTGAAATGTCTCTGAGTTAGTCCGCTTAGACTAAACGTAATGAATGACAGAAGAGCTCAAATGATCAAATTTGTTCAAATTCAAGCTTCTGTTGACTTAAGCGACGAAATACTTCAAATAGTTTGATGAGCAAAGTAGCAATTAATGTACTTGCAGATGAACTCTTTGGATGCGTTTGGCTATTTTACGTTTTTCTCTCTTTCTGGTTCCTCAGCTGTCACTGAGGAACGATGAGCCAGAGACGTGGCATCCATGTGGACCAATCTGAGCTGCTCTGCACAAAAGGATGTGGGTTTTATGGCAACACAGCCTGGCAGGGCCTGTGCTCAAAGTGTTGGCGAGAGGAAAATCAGCGAGAAAAGCAAAGGCAAATTCAAGAAGACTGGGCTCTTGCTGAAAGGTTTGCATTCACACCGTGTCTTTTCTGCAAAAAATAAAGCCACCAAAGTGTTTAAGGCCTGTCCGCTTACCTTATGAAAACTTGGCTCTTGTGCTACTGTTCATCTCGCAAGCTTTTCAGTTGTTCTGTTGTCATCTTCCCAGGCTGCAGAGAGAGGAAGAGGAAGCATATGCAACCAGGCATCAGAGGGCACAATCACAACCTGCAATCACTCCCTTCAACAAGTTTGAAGAAAGAAAGACAAAGGAGAAGTCCAGCAAAGTCAACACAGTCACAAAGTTTTTCACTCCATCAACAAAAACACCACCCAAGAAGGGTAATCTGTCTTGAACACACACACACACACACACACTGGTTGGTTCTAACTTTATTTTTAAAAATGTTCTTCCTGGATCCACCTCCTGTGTAACAAAACCGTATGCTCCACCCACAAGCCGCATTGGTGCAAACTCAAATAATCATTACATAAATATTTGCTTAATGTTTGAAATCTTTATCTTTTTTTCTCTTTTGTTGTGCAAAACTGTTGCAATAACTTATGTTTAAATATATCAATCAGTTGATAAGATGCCTTTTGCTGGCCTTTTTTCCTGTTTTACAAGCACACTTACTTAACTCTCTTCCAGGAGCTTAATATGTGGTGTGTAATGCTATATCACAAATTAACCTGAAACTGGGTGTTTGGCCTGGTCTTTGAGAAATCTTTTCAAATTCTTGAATGCATTTACCTAGAAACAACTGACAGATTTTGCTGAATTTCACTTCCCTTTAAAGTGGGAAATGTCAAAATTCATAGCCTGTTATTTAATTCAGTTTATTTATACAGCGACATTTCACCAACAAATGACACCTTGAGGTACAGAAAAATAATTTCAATGCAATCACATATAGATTCCAGTTAAACCTAGTTATCAAAATTGTAGATTTGTTCTCCCTTCATTTTACCCGCATCCCTGGATATTTATGATTGAAAGAAAGCCCTACAGACACTTACAAAGACTGCAGCACAGTAAATACAAACCTATAAAATTATTATCTGTTGTTGTCTTCCTCCAGATACCGGTGCTGCCGACGCTCAGTCGACTCCGAGCTCCAGCTCCTCAGCCAGTCGCCAGCCCATTCCACACAGTGACCGCGCAACGCGAGAGTTCATAGATTTTCTGAAGTCGGTGAAGTCTGGCAGGGAAATCTTTAAGCAGTGTCGGGCTTTCACTGAGGACATGGTGTACAAGCGGGTGAGCTTTGATCCGTCCAGATGGCCTGGTTATTACTCCCATTTCAACCTGTTACACGTTTATGGTCACGTTTATGCTCTCACTCAGACGGCTCTTAAAGAGGAGGAAGCTTTTAATTCACTGCATCGTTTTCATTACCGTCTGCCACCATTCATTGAAAGATTACACATTTTAGGATCATATATCCTTGAATAAATCAACTTTTCGATGATACGTGATAAGCGTAAAGTAAAAGGATAACCCCTTGAACTTCTCCACATTTAGTCATTTTACAGCCACCAACTTCCTGTTTCTTTGTTGTTGTTTCTTGTATAGTTGAGCATGAAGTAACCCAAAATTAATTAGAAAACCTTTAAGACATAGAATAAAAAGCTTTTCAAACTGCTGTAAACTGCAACATTCAGATGTTTTCACTTCAGTTTTGATATTTCATTGAAATTCAAAGAATAGTCCTAAAATCTTGGAACGTCTTCCCCTGAAACTTTTACCTTGATGTAATTTCCTTTAAGAAAAACAAAAGGTTGTTTTCTGTATGTTTTGTTTTTATGATAAATAAGCAGTTTAAAAATGTTTACAGCATTTATTGCTGAACTTGCTGCCTAAATTATTAAGATGACATTGATCTAGAGTTGTTCCGATCAGATATTGTTATTGGAAACACTCGTTTTTTGTTTTTCTGTTTTCTGATATCAACCAAAAAAAAAAAAAGAAAACGAGTGTCTGATTATATCGGTCTGCATCTAAAATCTCAGATGTAATCGTGCCAATAGAAGCAGTATTCTGCAGCATTTGGTCTGCCCCAGGATTTCCATCCAGCACTGTTTACATCCCACCTGAGGAACAAGTAGTTAGTAATAAATGTGTCAGTTGTTCTTGTACCTATTGTTGTCGAGTATTGTTCTCTGTTTGAGTAATATCACGTGATCAAGCCTTTTTCTAACTTTCCACATGACAAAATCAGCAATGAAAGTAAGCATGATTCGTGCTCATATCACATCAGGTCGATATCGGTATTGTATCGGAAGTGAAGAAGTGGTATCGGGACGCCTCTTTTGCAATCGGTGTGAAATCTGAATCCGATTCATTCCGACTTCTTGTATTTTTCTGTCCCTTTCCAGGACATGGGAGCCGACGAGCTGTCGGAGTGGGTGCAAGACTTCTACCAGAACCTCTCGGACCGGCTTCAGAACCAGTTCAAAGGTGCTTCAGCGGTCAAATATATGTTTTTTTTTTTTGTTTGTTTTTTTTTTGTTTTTTTTTACAATAACCACAGATAGTAAAAAACCATACAGTGAGAAATGTAGCCGATAGCGAAAATTCAACCTGGAAGACTCCATCCCCTCCGTTCGCCCATCGGCGTTATGCTCATCTCCGACCTCAGCTCTGGACCTCACCCGGCGTGTCCAATCATCAATCAAGCTCTGCATAAAAGGATTCACACCGAAGCCTTCAGCCGCTTCCCAGCTGCATTCAACCCACCACCGCCCCTTCTCCACCCTCATCCTTCGGCTCTCCAGGATGGCACCCTTTCCAGACCTCCACCACCAGTGTCGGGCCCTGCAGAGCATCCCTAATCGGTTATCGGGATGTTCATCGAGTTCACATCAAATCTCAGCTCAAATCAGCTGCCGGGGCCCGAGCCCCAAAGAACTGTTATTCATTGCTTTCATTAAATCTTTTAATTGTTCCTTTTTCTTCGTTTGAGTCTTTCCAGATTGAATAGCGCTTGTGAAAAGTATTTATCGGTTTGCGGTGCAACAGGTTCGACAGAGCATGTGGAGAGGGTGATGGATGAAGTGGAGAAGTACATGATGACCCGACTTTACACGGAGGTTTTCTGTCCCGAAACCACAGACGACGAGAAGAAAGACTTGGCTATTCAGAAGAGAATCAGGTTTGAGAACATAAACTCCAGCGTTTTTAGTTAAAAAAGAAAAAAAAAAAAAAAAAAGAAAGAAAATGGGACTTTTTTCTGTTTGTGTTTGGTTCCAGAGATTTGCACTGGGTCACCATAGAAATGCTGTGTGTGCCGGTGGACGAAGAGATCCCAGAGGTCTCAGACAGCGTAGTCAAAGCTATTACAGGTGAGTCTCAACCTGGGTTTGTTTTTGCCTGATTACTCAAGTTAGGTCACTCCTCTTCTAACATGTCTGCCTAATTTCAGATATAATTGAAATGGACTCGAAGCAGGTACCCAAAGACAAGCTGGCGTGCATCACCCGGTGCAGCAAGCACATCTTCAACGCCATCAAAGTGAGCAAGAAGGAGGCCGCGTCAGCCGACGACTTCCTCCCGACTCTCA